TCGTCGCGGTGGTCGTCGTCGTCGCGGTGGTCGTCGTCGTATTTCAAAATGACCCACTGTCGCGTGAGCCATCCAAGTGTGCAATCGCACGGAAATTGGAACCACACGTGTACGTTCGGCAAGTGTACAGAATATTATCTCAAAAGGTAGATCAATGTAGAAAAGGATATAATATATATTATATCGAAGATGTAAATGAAATTGCCGAAACAAATTCCCAGGATAATTATCCTGAAGCTTCACGGGTGGTGGTGGTGAAGGAAAAATAGTGTTGGTTTCATTGTTAAAGAAGCTTGAAGGCCTTAATTCCCATATAACATTAAACAGGAATACCAAAGGTGAGATCAAAAAAGGGTTCGAACATTCATTTAGACTGTGAGCTCTTAAAGATCCTGGTAAGCAAGCGGGTCTCGGTAGACCAATCAATTCAATGCGACCTGACGCCAGATATCACACGCAGTACCCGACAATTCTCGACCAACTGTACTTCCTGAAGAGAGAGCATCTTGTGACTTGTTTAGAGAAAAAAATCAGAAAATCCGATAACTTAAAGTACTCGGAGAAACTAATATGATGCCTTTGGTCAGAAGTTTACTTCCAGATAACAAAAATGGTCACTCATGATGTAATCATTGTTATCGTCATAGACGAACGGAAAAATGAAGAAAAAAACCTTTCTTGGAAGTCTAGCTCCTGGACAAGTATCCTGAACTTCTAGAAGCAGAAACTGTGGGTTCTAGCACCGGACAAATTAGGTTCATAGAACAGAGCACTAGAATTAAACAGGGAGATGGAATGAAACAAACCAAGACCAGGATGGTGTACCAAATTGCTATGGAACTGGGAAAAGATAATAATGAGCCCAGGGAAAGTCTAACGCCATTACAGTGACTTGATCCTTCGTTGAAAGAAGAAGAAATGGAAGTGAAAAACATCATTATGGAGCAACTTGAGATGACAAAAGTCCGTATTGTGGATCATTGTAGAACAATACTATATGTTAAGCATCTGGATGCCGTAACAACAGCTTAAGAACACCAAGAAATACTGGGCGCGGAGGCAGGAAACTGTCCGATACACGAGACCGGCATATGGAGACACTCATTCGGCAACGCTTGAATCCAACGAGTCAACTGCAGAGCACCTCTGTAGAATAGGACGAATACAGGTAGGAATGGTGTACTGTTTTATTAGCAGAAGATTGGATGTCCGGAGGTGCCATCGCTGCTGGAGTTATGGACATATTGCAACTAACTGCTGCGGCGAAGACAGGAGGAATGTAAGCTGTAACTGCAGACACGAGGGACATATAGCTAATGAACGCAAGAACCAGCTTATTGTTCTCTGTGCAATGAAGATCACAGGCCAGGCACTAGAGCCTGTAGGACATTCGGCAAAGCTCTCAGACAGGAAAGAAAAGCCCAATCATGATTAACGGTCCACAAATAAACGTCAATAGATGTAGACTGGCCCACGACTTATTAATGGAAGCGATAAGCGGATTACAATTCTACCTAATACTCTTAAGCGAGCCCAACAAAAATATGGCAAAAAATAAAGGGTGGTAACTTGATCGGAACTCAGACTCGGGCATCATAGTAACTGATCCCTTCATTAGTCACGGAGTACGAAAATGGGGAGGGATTGGTATGGGTTAACGTGGAAGGGCTGTATATCTGCAGTTGTATCACGCCAAACACACATATTCAGGATATTTTCTGAATTTCTGGTAGCGCTCGAATTAGAATTTCGGGGGAAAGCACTGATATAATAGTGGCTGGCGACTTCAACGCGAAGTCCGCGGACTGGGGAACCCCAAAAGAAAACCCTACGTGGAAAATGATTACATATTGGGCAGCAGCACTTAATCTTAACAGTTTTGAACCCGAGAACACAACCGACATTTATAAGAGGCACGCAAACATCATTCATTGATATATCACTTTGTTCTGATAATCTAACAAACTGCATTTCAGAGTGGAAGGTCCTAGAAGAAGAAACATCTATCGGCCGTAGGTATATAACTTCCAAAATATCTGAAATCCACAGAACCGCGAAGCACCCCTTCTCCGGCGATCAAACTTGTCAAAATGATATTTCGACGTGCTCTACAAGACAGTGCATCCAGAAGGCCCAACTATACACCCACAGAACGCGTGAAACGTTTACAGAAAGCATGCAAAAACTCCAAGATTGATACAAGAGTCAACCAAATAGATCCTGCATGGTGGGGACCTGAACTCTGCATTAAGAAGGGAAGTCCTTGCCGCTAGAAGAAAACATCAAAGGCAAAGAAGAACAAATTCCCCGAGAGAACGGAGACCTAACAGTCTCTATAAAAACTTAAAAAGATCCTCTGCAAAAGAATTGCTCTAGAAAAACGGAAGTGTGGGCTCCTACTATGCCATAATGTTGAATCAAATATATGGGGGGACGCCTATAGAATAGCTGTCAAAACACTGCGCGTAAATGAGCCTAGAGTACATTTGCCTGTAGAAAGATAGGATATCAACAGTCTCTTTCCACGACATACTAAGAAAATAAGTCGAAATTGTCACCAAGGAAATTTCAGCCCTGACAGAGAGCGAGCTCCGATACGCCGCAAAGAAATTAAAAGAAGGCAAAGCACCAGGACTAGATGGAATACCGCCGGAAGCAGTAAAAATGCTGGTGGACTTGGAGTACACGAAGCGTACCTTAGAAACATTATTAAAGCGTGGTACCTTCCCACATACCTGGAAAAAGGCCAGAGTTCTACTAATACCTAAACCTGGGCTCAAAAGCTATAGACCCATATGCCTGCTGGATAATCTCGGCAAACTGAACGAGCACGTGATATTAGGAAGACTAAAAGAAGAAATTAGTAGAACAGGAAGCCTGAGCGACAGGCAGTATGGCTTCAGTCAACACAAATCGACGTATGGAACTATCGATAATGTCCTAAGTACAGCGAGGAAGACTAACGGCAAAGGCCTGCTGAGTGCATTAATACCCCTGGGGGTAAAAAAACACATTCAACAGTGCGTCTAGGTCTGCAAATAATGAGGAAGTTGGAGGAAAGAGGTAGAGCACGTTACCTTCTTAACATCATTGGTGCGTACGTATACCAAAGAGCAATTACTGTAGGAAAGGGCAAGGAACTAGAAATGACAGCAGGAGTCTCACAGGGTTCAGTTCTGGGTCCAATTACATTTGCTGAACATACTACTTGATGGAGTCCTCCGGCAAACAACTCCCGAAGGGACGACACTCATTGCGTTCGCAGATACTTAGCTATCGTAGTCACCGGAAAGACTACAGAAGAACTCACGTTCAATGGAAATGCAACTCTGTGTATAGTGAACACATGGATGAGACAAAACTCGCTAACCCTGGCACTCCACAAAACGCAGGACGTTCTTTTGCCAAGAAAACGAAGAACCAAACGTATTCTTTTAAAGATTCAAGACACTGTAGTGAAAATGATGAAAGTTCATTATCTAGGGGTGGTAATAGATAAGAGACTCATTTTTGGACACCACTTCAAAATGATAACTGAAAAGGCAGGAAGGGTAATTGGCGCACTCATTAGACTGATGCCAAATATAGGAGGACTCAGCCAAGGTAAGGGAATAATACTGAGCCCAGAAACAGCAATGGTTCTAGCAGGACTTAAGCCAATACATATTCTGTCTCAGTAAAGAAAGGCATTACGTAAAGCAAGAGAAGAATGCACAACAAAAGAGGAGACCAGGGAACATTCCTTCAGAAAATATCCGAACGAGAGGGACAACATACCCAAAGCTACATGGACACGACGTTTGATCAAACAGATGCAGCTCTGGGTGACACAAAAACATGGCCACCTAAACTAGTATACAACACAAATTTTAACAGAACATGATAACTTTGTAGTATACACCCTTAGAATTGGCAAAACGCTAGATGACCTATGCCGCTACTGTCAGGCCAAAGATACAGCAGAACACACTGCTTTTCGCTGCTGTAGGTGGGAAAAACAAAGATTCGACCTAAATCAACAACTACGAGAGGACTTAACGGCAGAGAACATTATAACCAAAATAACAGAGAGCAACAACTGGAGCAAAATAGGCAAGTATTTGTCTACTATTTTACGAAAAGGACGAGACTCACGACGAACACTCCTGAACCCCTAATCACCATGGTGGAGGGGGAACGTAGGGATCTATGACCAAACAGAAGACCTGAAATAAAAGACAGCCCACTGCCTCTGACGTGTTGCCAAACCGGCGGTTAAAAGGGCAGTAAGAAGGGCGGTTTGACATTGGCTTCTTGTTCGGTTAGCAATTGCGCCGACTACGCCAAAAAAAGTAGTAGTGGTAGCCGTAGTGGTAGCCGTAGTGGTAGTCGTAGTGGTAGTCGTAGTGGTAGTCGTAGTGGTAGTCGTAGTGGTAGTCGTAGTGGTAGTCGTAGTACTGGTAATACTAGTAAGATGAACAATAATACTAAATAATGACTAAATAATTCATATTTATAGTAAATTATATATTCCCATCAGGTTCAAATGTCCACTTGCACTCAAAGCAACTTATATATTCAATGCATTTAACTAACCATTGACTTGTCCAACTTCTAAATTTTAGTGTTCTGTTTAATTATCTTTAAAAGCATAATTAAATCTAGTATTTCCAAAACACTAGTACGAAATACAAAAACTGAAAGCTTTGTACATTAGATTGCATCTTAATTAATAAAAATTAACAACCTACTATGCCAATCAACCAACATGTAAGCCATTTGAATTAATTAACCTCTGATGACCAGTCTAGGTATTATGACTATGATTTTTAAGTTTTAAAACGTAATGAATATTATTGTTGTCTAATGATATTTTTACATCATGGAACATACACCTTTCAGTTTCATATTCCACACATTCTCTAATTAGTTCTTAAAATTAATTATTGGTGGCTAGGGTGTCAAAATATGTTAAATGATATTTTATTGTGCTTATTATTTATTTATTTTTCTTTCATGAGTAATGCAGATTAGCAATATCAGTAGTGAAGTATGTATTAATGTATTTGTAGATGATCACTGCACTCTGGCAAATGTTTTGCATGTTGAATTCTTTACTCAATCCTTCATGTTGATTTCTGAGTTTCTGTTTATTTACCTATGCTTTTAAAATACAACAAAAGAATTCAATTTCATACAAAAGAATGTACATATGTAAAACTACTAAATTTTGAAAATAATTAGTGGAGAGTCAAAACACTCCATCTTGCCATCATTCCATTCACTCGGATCTCAGAAGACAATACTTCACATTTTTTAAGATCACAGACAATTCAAATAAATCTGACGCAAATTTCTCTCTCTAGTAAAACTGAAATTGTTAAAACAGACAAACTGATGTATACACACAAGCACACATAAAGCAACAATGCATGAAATTGAATGCAGCAGGACATCCTTCAGGCACGATTATGTTCTCTGATGCAATCTGCAGAACACTTGGAAATTATATCAAGGCAAGTTACAGAGTATTATGAACATGCAGGGAGAATAAAAAAATAAAATAGACTAAAATAATAATTAAATTAGTTCATATATTACTGAAAAAAGCACTGTATTATATAAATTATTAGAGAGAGAGAAAAAAAAAAGAATTTTACAAATTGAAATGCAGTACACTATTATACTAATTTAATGTGCACCATTCACTTACCCATCACATTTTCTTAAGAAAAATTATCTTTTGGGCAATAAATAATTTTTTTTTAAATTTATTTTAGGTAAGAAAAATGGCAGATTCAAGTTGGGGTTTCTTTTTTATTCATCGTTCAATCTTAATTCCAACTCATAGCTATCAATTCATTGAAGAGAAACAAAGAGGAATCCAGTCTTTCTTAAATCAGAATTTCAAGTATTCAGACATTATTGTCATCCTACATAAATGAGTAAATCCTGTTCAAATGTGCTCTGTGGTATTGAGAATGTTAATAACATTATTATCCATTTAAAACATTCAGTATCTATTTTCAATCTGAAGGTGAATAATAATACTGTTAAAAAAGTTAATTTCAAATTTGTATGTAACGCTGTATCATTTTCACGAATAATTAAACCAAATATGCAAAGAAGTATTTTTTCTATCAATGCATAAAGAAGAGGGATTTTAAATACTACTACTAATGTATGCATGAAGTTAGCTTTTTCTTCTGATATCTAAATAAATATGATGTCACCCAGCAAGAAAGACTTTTGGCTTGGTGAAGTCACAGTCATAGAAAATGCATGTTACAAGGATGGCACTTTGTTCTGATAATCATGAAGAGTAAAGATGAAACAAATCAGGATTCCTAGGGGAAACATTTTTATATGATAGTAGAAGAGTTTTGTTTATATTTCACAAATGAAAAGTTTGTATCTTGCATAATTTCTATTGTTTTTAGTCTCAACTTATCAATCACACATACAATTATTATTAAAATACAATTTTAATAATTATAAAAATACAATTATTTTCCTACTGTTTCTATAAGCTTTGGACATCATGCCAAATGACTTTATGAAATAAATAATAAACAAAAATTATAAACTACAATAACATTGCTGTCTTTTTTCAATACGTTTTATAAAGTGACTTATCTGCAGATGTGTTGACACTTGCACTAAACATTATTTTTAACATCATCTTTACGATGGCAGAACAATGAAGCAGCAAAAGGAAAGAACAGAATAACTCACCAGTGGCTGCAGCTGCTTCACTGCCTTCTTCATTCACCTCAATGAAGGCTTTCTGAACAACTTTACTCACATACAGGCCTTTTTCTTTTGAAATGCCTGAGAAGTCAGCAAATTCAGGATCAAACATCGACTTTACACCCAACTAGAGAAAGCCAAAAAGAAGTTTAGTTATTAAATCAATTAAAACATTATGGCATTAACAATTTTTTATAGTTTCTTACTTTTTGAAGAGGTTCTACCAAATCTATGGTGGTTTCAATTTTAAAACGAGGTAGAGTTACTTCTACTTCCACATGATCTGCCCGTTTCATTAAGTCTGCAATGTTAATGGAGTGTAACTTTTTCTCCATCTCTTGAAGGCCATCCACCTCATTAGGCAATAAAATTACCATGAACATTGAGTCACCCTAAACCAAAGAAGTATATCTTTGTTAAAATATAAACAATTATTTCATTTATCACAAAGAGGTTTAAATTGTCATTTTATATTGAAGGATATTTTACACAGTATAGAGGTCCAATCTTGTTTCATGACAATCATCTTTGTATTAATTTTCAAAACATCTATACAAATTGAAAATAACATTAAAATTAGGTTAAACTGATGTTTTGAATGTATCAATATTTGCTCCATCTTCAGACAATTATTAAAACAAAATAAAAACTCAGGCTCACAACATGCCGAAGAAGTTTACTTCATTGAGATCTAATTCCTGAACTTCTTTGAAATCTTGTGAACCTGTGTTTTTATTTTGTTTTAATAATCGTCAGAAGATGGGAAGCAAATACTGATACCTCCAAAACATTTTTCCATAATTTAGAATTTGTAAAGTTATTTTGAAAATTAATAAAAAAGTCAAGAAATAAGATTGGACTTTTACACCTTGTAAAATATCCTAAAATATGAAGTCCAGTGTTTACATTGTCTTTATACCATAATAACAACAAACTTCAATCTGAATTATAAATTTAATTACTACTTACAATGTAAGGCATGACCAACAGTTTTGCTTTTAAATCCTCTAACTCTAAATATCCAAATTTTTTTTTAATGTGCATCATATCAACTTCTTTAGTTTGTGATGCTGTTATGTAGAAAGGCTCTTTGGAAGTCTTAGATGGATCAAACTGGTGTTTCCACTTCCCCTTAAAATACACTGCATTGATCAATACCATTTTTGTATCAGGCGTAATATCACCTAAAAGAGTTCAATTGGAATATTAAATTCAATACACAAGCAAGCTTTGGTCATCATCATCATCATCATCATCATCATCAATATAATTTACATGAACTCAAACTTTTAGTTATCTGGTCATGCTTCCGGTCCTCTGATAATAACATTGCCTCATTACACTCCGAAGTCCCTTGACTCAAACCTCCACTCTGTTGTGTCTTTTAAGTCCATTGGAGTCGAGAACAAACTCCTACCACTTGTGGTCTTATGTCAACAGTGGCATTTGAAACTATTACAAGTAGGGAAGTTTGGTGGTGACTGGGTGGCGATCCTTGCCTTAGGCCCCTTACGAAACTCTTCTCTCCCTGGCACGCTGGCAGTCACATTCATCCCTCACATTCGTACACTATTCACACAGGAAGGACTTGGGTATTGAAGGTGATACATGGTGGTTGGGATATGCCTTACACACTACACATACACACTAAGTCACAACACTTAAAGTGATCATCCATGTCTCACACATGATTCGAACCCGCAGACCTTGCAGGTCACAGCTGCCACGATAACCACTCTTGCTACGAGACCAGTGTATGTATACAAGATATAAAATGTCACTGTTACTTTGCAAAACTTATAACAATGAATAGTTTTAAGGAGTTCACTTTTCAATGAGCTTAGCGATGGCAGAGGAAATTTTCTTCAAAGTGAGTTTGTAGAAAGATGAATATAAAATTTGATGTCATAATTTTCAATCAGAAGGTACTTCAAAAATACTAAATTCACATCATCTAAAGAATAGTAAATTTGTCATTTAGATTTTGGGTTTTGTGGAGAAACCACAATTAATATGAAGTGTTACAAATGTAGACAGTGCAAAGTGCCAAAATGGAATTCCGAAAGAATTCTGAAAAATGGAAATAAGAAAAACTGTTTCAAAAGCGCATGGGTCTTGACTGATGCGCTGTCTAGTGGCAACAATTTGAATCCCTATCAAAGAGAATTTCAGATAGCCCATTTTACATTGCATTGCACTTGTTACAATTCTTTTCAGCACAAAATGCAAATTTTCACATTTTGGCATTCAGCCCGGGTTTCATGTATGCTCTACAATTGTGAGAGAAAGTAGATGAATTGTGCATGTACAGCAAAATGTTGAAATTATGTTTCAAAGATGGTGTACATGAAGGGAATGCTTACTCAAAATAATCTGAGTTTCGGACTTCAATGCAATATAGTAGATTTTGGGAAAGTTGAAGAAAGTGGTTCTGAGGAGAAGTAAAATCAATTAGTGTTTGTACCAGTGTACTCCTTAATATACACTGAAGACTCCAAAAAACTGGGTCAGCCATGTGCATTGAGACCTGGAACCAACCAGAATACAGTGCCCCGGTAAGACAACCATAGTCTGGCACAGTTCGTAGATCGGTTACTACTGTTACAATGGCAGGTTATCGCGATTTAAATGAATTTAAATGTGGTGTTATGGTCGGCGCAAAAGAGGCAATAGCATCTCAGAGATCGCAATGAAATTTGAATTTTCCTGTACCACCATTTCATGTGTGTGAATATTGGGAATCCGGTAAAACATCAAGCCTCCGGCATCACTGCAGCAACAAAAAGATCGTACAAGAACGGGACTGATGGTGACCGAGGAGAATCGTTACGCATGACAGAAGTGCAATCCTCCTGCAACTTTCTGCACATTTCAATGTTGGGTCATCAAGAAGTGTCAGCGTGCGAACCATTCACTGAGACATCAGTAGGGGGTTTTGGAGCTGAAAGCCCACTCGTGTTCACTTGATGACAGCACCACACAAAACTTTACGCCTCGTCCGGGCCCGTTAACAACAACTTTGAACTGTTGATGATTGAAAACAAGTTGCCTGGTCTGATGAGTCTCGTTTCATTGTTTCGAGCGGATGGACGTGTACGAGAATGGAGATAATCAATGGACCCTGCATGACAACAGGGGACTGTTCAAGCTTATGGAGGCTCGGTGACGGCATAGGTCATGTGTAGTTGGAGTGATATGGGACCCCTGATACGTCTAGATATGATGAGTGAGAAGTACAAGTTAAAAATTTCACAAGTAACACATACATAAGCTTGTCCTGTCTGATCACCTGCACCCATTCATGTCGATTGTGCACCCTGATGGACTGGAGCATTTCCAGCAAAACAGTGCCACAGCCCATGCTTTAAAAATTGCTGCAGGAACGCACTTCTGAATTTAAACACTTCCACTGGCCGCCAAACTCTCCAAACATGAATATTATTGAGCATATCTGTGATGCCTTGCAGCATACTGTTCAGAAGATATCTCCATCCCGTCGTACTCTAAAGTGTTTATGGACAGCCCTCCAGTATTCATTGTGTCAATTACTGTACCTCCAGCACTACTTCAGACATTAGTCGAGTCCCTACCACGTCATGTCGCAGCACTTCTGCATGCTCACGGGGGCCCTACACGATTTTAGGAAGGTGCACCAGATGTTTTGGCTCTTCCGTGTATAATTGCAAAGTGCTCCTCTTATTTGTTGGCATTTCCTACATTTTTTTGTTTGTTTTCGTTGTTGTTGTAAAAGCAATAAGATTCCGTGAGTTTTGTTTTTCCATTCAATTCTTCATTTCTGAAATTTATTCTTCTCATTACTAATTTTTTATCAAGATGTCTTCCTTTTCATCAAGATTAGGTGGACTGCTTTTGTTTTTATTTTCATTGCCTTTTCAATGGTTCAATCAAAACATGTCTACTGAATAGCCTCTACTACAATTTTATTGTTTTTGTGAAAAACTCACATGGAATCCTGATTATTTACCCACTACAGACAAATGACAAAAAATAAAGTAAAAAGCAAAATAATACATTGTTTCAGCGCACTATATATTTTTTTTAAATTACTTAATTGATCAGTTACTTACCTTTTCCAAAAAGATCTTTAATTTTATCATGTGTCTGTTTTTCTACCCAAGAATTCATTACAACTCTTGAACCTTCAGGATTTCCAATAAAGTTTACATTTTCAGCAGCAGCCAAAAATGATTTTTCTGCCACTAGTTGGAATTCTTGCTCAACTGAGAATGTTTGCTCACTATAAACCTTATTTGCAATTTCCAAAGTCATGTCACCTGTACTCTGAAATATATATTCAATGATTTCAAAAAGACAATACAATTAAAGAAAAAAAGATATTTCTAAAAGTGAATTTAAAAACTAGACATTTAACACAAATGAAAATAATTATGATAATAAACAAACAGACATTACAATTGAAAGCTGAGTGAATCACTGAAAGCAATCATTCTAACTGTTTCTAACACAATAAACACAATACTACATTAGAAAAAGAATGCAACATATTGCAGATACATTGGTGAATAACTAGGTCAAGTGATATAGAATGGTCTGTGCCTTATTGAGAAAAATTTTAAAATAAAACAAAACTAAAAGCCCTTAATGCTGTGCGATCAACTGAACAGAAATATTGAGAAATCCTACATATCATTTTACGCACCTTTCTTGCACACTTCATACATAGTACATGCAAATCCGTATACAATCATTTTAAAGAAAAACAACAGAAAATCTAATTTTGGCATACATTTAAGACTCTAGAAGTTTTCTGTATCTCTTGAGAAATTCAGTTTTTAGGGTATATGGTCTTACTCAATTTGTTATATTTATGAAAAAAGGATAAGAGAGCCAATTTTATTTTTACATCCAACAAATAATGTAAATAAATTACATTTCTTTTTATCTCATAAGATCAATATTTGTCAAAATTATTATAAATAATTATGGTTCACAGACTTACGAAAGAAAATGTTGGTCTTGATCATATGAGATTATGAATATTTTTCTAAATTTTCGAGCTACAGAATCAAATGGAATAAATAATTTAAGATAAATATTTGGGAAAAATGACTAACTCGTAAGCTTTTCATGATAGCATTGTAGCCACTTTTTACAAGATCAGCATCATTAGGCAACTCCAGTCCAGCAAGAATTTCTTCTGCAGTTTTGCCCTTGGCTCCCATGTGAGCTAATGCCAAGACCACTTCAAGACTGGTAGGCGAGAAGAAAACATTGCCAGGTTTTTCCCGAAGTATCTGCAACATCAAAAATTTGCAATATTACTACACAAAATTATCAATGCCAGATTTTTACATTCTTACATACTAATTACAAAATGTAAAGAAAAAACAAACAAAATCAACAAAAAAATCATTGTCAAATGATGATATTTTGACCCTGAAACTGAAAAAAAAATTATTGTTCCTTCACGTAGAAAATAATTTCCTCTATTATGTTTTGTACTCAAATCCATGTTTTGTGGGTCTTAGTACAGAAAAGTTAGTTTATGCCAAAATATACTACACTGCAGTAGAGAAAATTTTGAAAATACCCTTAAGCCTACATGTAAAGTACCCCTCAATCAAAATATAGGTTTCAAATTCAAATGGCCACCAGATTGATTAAGAAATATCAATTTAGTTGCAAATTCTCCCTATGATTAACGCAGGAGACTTGTGCACCAATAGACAGCTAATACACACTGTATTTCCGCCCGCCCGCCAAACCGCCCGTCCGTACAATCGTTTCTCGGCTAAGATAGTCTCCACGCTCTTGTATTTCCTCACCACCTATGCGGTGGTGAAATAATCGGTTGATGTATAACAGTTGCTCGCAGAGTACGAATTGGCCAGTTTCTTTACAGGATAACGTTCATAAGTCGAGGATGGGACGAATCGAACAAGTGATCAATGAAACGACGAACTTAGTTTACATAGCATTGAATTAAAAAAAAAAAGTAATTATATTCTGGGGAATGTTTGTCCAATTTCCTTCATTTGGATTCCTTGATTTGAACATTTCAGGGTGCAGAAGTCATAAATAAGCCGCCTGATATGCATTAACTGTACTTCTGATATGCTTTCCCAGCACGAGACTTCCACTCCAGGTGAGGTGCGGTGAATCCAGACTACATCCCGCGGTCGACTTCTTCTCGGCATTGTACCTGCCCCTCAAAATAATAATAGCCCAACTGCATCGCGTTCGCTTTTCCTCGTTATTAGAGCTACACAGACACAAGTCAAACATTATAACTTGCTTCTATAACATTTTTCAATTTCGAAATTATTTAACAAAGTGATGTATGAAAGCAGAATGGAACCGTTTCAAAATCTTCACCGAAATTGGAACTGAAACGCTTTATCAAGAACTGAAACCTAAATAAATGGTTGTCTAAAACTACAACACTTGACATAGTTATCATATTCACCATCTGGTGAATATGATAACTATGTCAAAAGTTGTAGTTTTACGTCAAGTGCTCACTACAACAGCTCTCTACACAAAGTTGACATAAAATACATGTACATTATTGTACAACACCTTGCCAAATGACATTAAGCGATTACATTCGATGCATAAGTTTAAGTTCCAAGTAAAATCTTTCAAATTTTTAAGAGTTAAAATTTGAAATCTAATTATTCTTCCAGATTGTCATTTAAGTGGAAGCCAGTTTCTAACAAGAGGAGCTAATCTAAAATAATGAAAGCATCTATTACGGAACTGCTTGAAGATGGGATAAGTTTTCAGAGAGCTGCCATGGAAAATGAAAAGGAAAAGAAAACAGTAATTATGTGCAGAAGGTTCAGCATGGTCCTGAGGACAACTTGAAAGTCAATCATTAAGGTGTTACATAATTTCAAATGAAAAGTATGGCCAACTTTTAATACATTCTAATTAAATCTTCGAAAGTATATTCCAGTTTGTGTCCAGATGATCTTAGGAGATTGATGTACTGTATGATGACTTTAAAGAACTTATTGGTCCTATTCTACAGAAGGAAATCTATCTAGAGAGTGGAAGCAAGGTTAAAGTTTTCAGAAGCATTTTGTAATCTTCGGGTGATTAAAGTCTCTCACTGCAAAAATTGGTGAATGGAAATGATTATTTTCAGTTTTTTGCAGTATTGCGATGTTAAAATTTATTTATATAGATATACTTATTATTTTTGCATTATATTTATATGTATGCTTCCTTTTGAGGTAATTTTATATATAAATTATTATAAATTATTTGTATATAAATTCATGCAATTTGTTAATGATTTGGTATTATTTTTAGGTTATTATTTATTAAACTGAACATACATGGACAAAACTCCTTAAAATGTGGACTCACATCTCCCTCATTCAGGAGGATGTAAACCAGTAAATATGTACTTAAAAAATGCAAATAAATTTTATATGATTAACAGTAAACCATTACAAAGAGTTTATTGTTTTCCTTGTTGCAATTTTCCTGTACATTATGTAAATAAATTATTTAATAATTATTTTTTCACCACCCCAAATAGAACTTGTGTAGAGAGACACATCTGCATTTCAAAGAAATATCTTGCCAATGGTAGAACTGGTGGTATCAATGGTATCATACATTTTTGGTTTAATGACTTGTATCTTGCATTCAATATACTGCAGCTAGACTCTAAACCCATTTTATCATTATCATTATTTATTATTACCATTTTTTATTATTATAAATTTATTATGGTTTTTATATTTATAAGTTTGCCCTCCCTCCAGAAAAATCTATGGAATCTCTTCTTTTAGAATATAAAGGGGCTGTTTCATCGGTGCCTGATACAGTGTCCGATTGCCTATCCAGAAGTTATCTTACTGATATGTGCCTGATAATTCTAACAAGTAATTAAAGTATCCCGTAAATAATCTGGAGGTTGGAGAGGCTGTTAGATGTTTATCTGGTAGATAAACATTATACAAACAAACAAAATAACAGAATTTATGTGTGAACTTGCTGTGATTTTCAAGGAATATCTGTAGTGTTTCTGATGGACAACGTAATAGAGATGATAGGCGACGAATTCTTTGATGGTTTAGTTGGAGATGGTTAGATACTCCAGTTATGATTTCAGAATCAGTTGTTTTTAGTAAGCATCATTTCCATTGTAATTTTGTTTAAAAAAATGAAAACTTTGAACAGTTATAATATTTCCTTAATCTCTCTTCAAAGCTTCATATTTTTATTAAAGAAGTTTCCCTTCGCAAAAAAGCATCCCCCACCGAGCTATTGAAAACCTTTTCAGCTATTGAAAAACCTCTTTCGAATGAAGCGAAAAACGCCTGACACTTCCATTACCAAAACACATTCGAATTCGCGCGCACAGGGCGCTGATTCGAAAATGCAGCGTTGTCGCTGGTGAAAGAGCAATCCCCCAGATTATTTATCAAAAAGATATGTCAGATATTTTAACAAGAAAGACCTTGGCGAAACGGAAAATAAATATCAGGCACTTTTATGTGACGTATAAAATATCTGTCGGATAACTATTCGGAACTTTATCAGGCACCGGTGAAACAGGCCCTAATTTTTTTTAATGTAAGGATATGTAACGTTTACCTTCACAATGCACTTTACATGACATCTTACATTCAACATGAAACTTAAATGCCATTGAAAGGAAATATAATTAATTACCTTATACAACTTCAGTCCAAAGCGTTGGCTGCTGTTAGCAATAACCTCCAAGGCCTTTTGATCCGATTCACTCATGGTAAATGTCACCAAAAAGAATATCAGCAAAAACAGAAGTTTACCTGCAACATCATGTCAATCGTCAGGAAATCGATCCAGCAAATCATAAGACAACATAAATGCATTGACCTCACAAAACCAAGTGACAAATGCAAAATTTAAACGTGTAAATTTCTACTAAATTTCAATACTAACCTAACATGATTCCCTTCATTTTCAGCTCTCCGGGCTATACTCTTAACAAACGCTTTCGAACTCGACGTGCAATCGTCTACGTCTTAAATAGTTTCAAACGACTTTACTGATTTACAGGCATTCCAATGCTTGATTCATAATATTAACTCAATGAATGATTTTTCTATCGAAGAATATGGGAAAGTTCAAACAACGAAATAAACTATTGTTACGATTGGAAGGTCCATGTGTAATAATATACGACGGGCGTCGCTGTAAGGAGGGTAAGGCGACATGTTCTCCAATATTTTCATTTTTATACATTAATTATGTAGTAATTTAATGCACAAAATTAGAATAAAATAAATACTACTTAGTAAACTCATACATTTATTCACCGATATGCTTCGGGCATATACGTTCAATGGCTCTGCCCAAATCAGAAGTTAGAATAATGTTAGTTCCATTCGAAAGTTGAAAAAAGGCACGACTGAATTGTATTATCATCTGCCATACGCTTCCACATTTGCTAGACCTATATAACCTTACGAGTGAGCAGTCGGATTTATTGCTGCCTGTGACCGTCGAAGGGCTATTTTTGGTTCAATCAGCATTATACATAAATAGATTTAGATAATTCAGAATTGGTTGTGTCAAAATATTTGTCTTCTTTTCGTGATGAATAATTGTCTGTTTGCCATCTTTAGTATGGAATTAATAAATAGCTGCGACATAACTTGACTTTTTTAATGTTTCAGTTGTGTCTTAAATCAATAAATCGATTAAAAATGTGGTTTATACTTCGATTTTTCTACAGTGGCCGATGACATTAGGGCATTAGGCCATTGTTACACCCCCTGCCTTATAAAATAAATGTTTTTAACAGAGCTAAGCACATTTGAGACCACGAGCCCCGTGGAGGATATTCGCGAATTATTTTTTTAAGGCAGGAGATGTAACAATGACCGAATATAATCGATCACTGTAGAAAAATCTATGAATAAACGAAGTCTCCGGGGGGCAATTAAATCACTTCCTTTAATAATCCCTTACTTTTCCGTGCCAAAGACACTCTTTGGTACCGATTATCTGAAATCGCCGGCGACTTTTGGCGTCCCTCCAGCAGCCGCGAGTCCTCGGGTGTTGTGGGGAAATGCGGCAACTTTAGTTTCAGGGAAGACAAAGCACTTATTGTCTTTGGGAAATAATGCTTTCTGTTTTTCAAGCTAGTTTCAGATTTCAGGCTTACAAAAGAAAAATCGCCTCGACAATGGATCAAAGTACCTCGGTGAAAATTATTTCTGCACTAAACCTTTTAGGTCAGGTGTTTTAACATGGATCAAGGAAGATCATTCGTCTATGGTTTTAGTGTCCTAAAATGTTTCAAGAAAAAATGAAAGGACGTTCCGAATAATTTGTAGATTGATTCAGCGCTTTAAGGACACTGGGAATGTTATGGAAAGAGAGCGGTTGCACAGTTTTAGGGGAGGAGACTAAGTTACTACTAGTAGAAATTCAGGTTTTGAAGGGCACTCCTGAATGCATTTTCGCTATCGAAATTGCAACAGTAGTGCGAGGAAATCGGCAGTAGCGCCTATTTTGCAAACAAAGAAATTGCAAACGCAGTCGTGCACGTGGTAGATACGCCAGTCACAAAAAATACTGATCCGATCATTCTGAGCAATGAGGCGAGAACAACGCGCGGAGACCCCAATGTCCGTCCATAGCCCTCTAGTGTACCTACTTTGCATACTAGCTGATATGGTCTGGCAATTTAGAACGAACGATACCGATACTATAAAGGAGTGTTATGGAAGTGCTTTAGGGCCGACCTCCACACAAGCCTGCTTATTGCTCGAGCACAGCTGCTGCTACAGTGCGATTAAAAGAAGTTCATGATCGACAGATGCGACTGAGGGAAAAAGTAACGTTGACGGCTTGCGTAGCTCTTGAGCACGTGTTTCCAGGACTCGAAAAGAAATAATAATAAAAGTAACCAAATCATACACCCATTGTGTATGAAGCAAACAATTTCAGAAGCACAACGGTCAATCACCAACTTACGTTAATCGGACCATAGAAGTGGTCATCTACCCAAATAATTTACAAATATGTTCTCACACATCTATCCTGCAGGGATGAATTCATTTACGTTCTACACATATTTTTCTAGAATGAGGGTGTGGCAAAAGACACTATTCTATTAAGGCCTTTAAATCCATTATCTATTGCACTTTCAATGGAGGAGAGGCCCGGATAGCGAACGGGCGGCAGCTCCTCGCAGTGAGAGGGCGCGAAGCCTGGTGGTAGGCGGCTCTGCGAAGCGGGTGTATGAAGTTGCGTTACTAACGCATCGAATTTTTTGAAACATTCTACTTGCTATGTTTCCTTACGAAATCAGTGAATAGGTAAGGATGACCATGAGCCTATAACGACTGAGATACTATAGCGTCACAAAAACGACTTTCTATTTCCTCAAAGTAAGAAATATCACCAGCTATCGTTTCTTCGCCCCTAGAGCGCTGACTGATAACAAACATAATGCCACAAGCCAAAAACCTTTGATTCAAGCATGGGAAGGTGCCAAAATAAATTAAAAATATCAATGAAATTGTCCATCGCCGGACAAAAATGCAGTAACATTATTCTTGAAGTGTATTCAGGTAAATTTAGAATGAATTGATCAAGAGGGCTACAAATGAGCTATTCTAGCCCTCCTGTTATTAATTTTGAGATCTTCACATTCCGATGTGCAGGTAGGAGCTGACGGAAAGAAGGTACCGGACACCCTCCTGTTGTTAATTGAAACTGTGTTACAGAATGGCACTGTCTTTCTCGTACTAGTTAGTTTTTTAATTTCTTTGGTCTAGGCTTTCTTTTCGGCCTTGACCCATCCTTTGTCTCGATGCCGCCCAATCTATCGCCACCCAAAGTTGTTGTTTTTTCTTTTTTTCTCTATTTTTCGGTTTCCTACAGGTACAGCCGAAATATTACTTTACGATACGAACCGAAATATCATAGAAAAGTGGAACCTCATCCTAAATGGAAATTTCCATTCAAAAATTGGAACTTTTTTTTAAAAGAAAATATCGTTTAAGCGTTACTGAAAATTCGAAAATCGAAGCTCTTTTTCACAGAAAAAAAAGGTGGCTTAGATCGAAGGCGCTCGCCTTTCACCAATGAGGTCCGGGTTCGATTCCCGTTGATTCCCGGACTATCTCATGTGAAAATTTTTCCGACAAAACGAGTTTGGCTGCTTTACAAGGGCGAGTCCAACCTCTGTGAAGTGTAATAAACCCTGCTCCTATCCTTATTCCTTCCCAATTCTGACCGCTGGGTAGTGACGCAGGAATGCGTAAGAGAGAGGCGCGTACGCGGAGATGTTACCTGGCAGTCCTCTTGACAACTGAGACGAGACTGACGATGCTAATTAATGGATGATTACCCCAAAAGCGCAAAGCGCTAAACGCCCCCCAACAGGCTCAACGCAAAAAAGTCTTGTCATCTAATGCAGTGCATTTAGCACTATCCGTAAACAATGATTGAAGAAGAAAATTGAGGCGGTTTTGGGGAAAAGGTTGTTTGAACGTTTCTGAAAATGCGGAATTTTGGGTTAATTTCACAGATAACTTTTGAGTTTTCGAGAACCTTTATAAGAGACGTAAGATTATTTGATGCACATGTACTCAAATGCAATAATGTAAACTAATCGCCGCTAATACAAATATTAATGACGTGAGTCAGGTCAAAAAAATTACATTTTTGTGCATTATGATAAAAACAAAAGGATACAGCAGAATTACGTTTACGTTGTCCTATACAGTACATTGGGCATTATCCCTACGAAAAGTTAAAAGAAAGAAAAAAATGGAGCAATACTTGAGAAATCTTTGTTTTAGACATATTTATTTAAAAAATACTAAAATTTTCGAAACAATGTACATGACCTTAACGAAAAAACTTAATAAGGAGAAAACATTTTATTTGAAAGAAAAATATCTATCTTGATTTTGTAGTTGTAGGAAGACGCCGAAAATTTTTTAATATTTTGCAATTATCTAAAATTTAGAGTTAATAATCAAAATCAGACCTATACTACCGTTAGAAGTGAATTTCACACTATTCTTACAAGAAATTTACAAAAATAAATTAGAGCCATTGCTGAAAAAAATTCAAAAGACCCAGGGGCTTCATATACACAAGCCCGAAAAATTAAAGAATGTTTTTCAAAATTCGCAGATCTCTGAGTGAGGCCAGATCGACAGGGGTTTATTCACTTTGGAAAAAAAATCTACTTATAGTTTAGGCGCTAGTGCCGTCCACAGACAACAGACGGACGGTCAAACGTTTGGAAAGAAAACACTTTCGGTATCAAGGACCCACAATTTCTGAACTCTTAGTAGTACATAACGTGATCTGGGCTGTCCGGGGGACGCCTCGTCGAAGGCTGAGTTGCAGACATTTCGACCGACATATCGCGGTCCTCTTCAGTTTTTTGCCATTTTTGTCGCAGTATTACATAACTTTCTCTATACTACGTATATTACTCCGTACGTCGCGGTGGAACAACGTTCGGGCCTGCAATGCGGGCGGGCCCAGGTAGAAGAGGGCGTATTTTTAGGGAACATTTTCATTATTTAAGGTACCGACACTATACAATTTTATAAATGGGACCCGAAGAAAAGTTTTGCGTGCGGGCCCGCACTCATTTCGTTACGCTTCTGATACACACATGCAAGAAAGTAATAACATGATTGATTCACCAGATATTTTCTATCCTAACAATTTTATAGCCAGTCACGGTTCTCAATATAGTTTCTTTAGTTTCTATCGTATTTATTGTGTTTATAAGTACAGAAAACGTCCAATTGGAACTAATGCAGTTCGC